AGGGAAATGAAACCCTAACTATGTAGGGGCAGTGATAGCCATGCTAACTATGTAGGGGCAGTGATAGCCAGGCTAACTCTGTAGGGGCAGTGAAAGCCATGCTAACTATGTAGGGGCAGTGATAGCCATGCTAACTGTGTAGGAGCAGTGATAGCCATGCTAACTATGTAGGGGCAGTGATAGCCATGCTAACTGTGTAGGAGCAGTGATAGCCATGCTAACTGTGGAGGGGCAGTGATAGCCAGGCTAACTCTGTAGGGGGTGTGATAATCATGCTAACTATGTAGGGGCAGGGATAGCTATGCTAACTGTGTAGGGGTAGTGATAGCCATGCTAACTATGTAGGGGCAGTGAAAGCCATGCTAACTATGTAGGGGCAGCGATAGCTATGCTAACTAAACTTCTGGTCATAAAGGCCTTATTCTAAAATTTCCCATTAATAGTTCTAAGATTCTTCTATCAATTCCTCAACATTTGTTCAACATGGAAATAAGTTTCTCTTTTTCTTCTAAACCTGCAATGAAGACAGATGGACTGATTTAAGGTTGGTTCATCTCCAAAAGGTCAGTCCAACATGTTTCCATGGTTACAGAACACAGACAAGGCATATCATAATAAAAGCATTGAACTGACCAAGCTGGAATTGCAAACTGGAGGCTCTTTGAAGGAACACACATTCACTGATTAAAGAACAAATGTTCATATATGCTTGATGATAAAAGAAAAAAGTTTAGTAAGAAGTTTAGACAAACTTATGACAAAAAGCCTTTACACAACAGAAATTTACCATTCACTACAATTGGACAACAAAGTCTAAAAAAATGACAAAATATAAGAATTAACATCAAATTAATAAAAAAAAAACAACTTTACTCTCTTATGTAAATCACATTGCAACAATTTTTCTTCTCATAATAATCATCAAAGAACAACCCTTTAAAATACTGAATAATATGTATATAATATTTATAAAACATAATCTTATAACATATTAGCATAAAACTTTGTGTTTATCATATAAATATTTATTTGCAAAATGTATAACTTTGCATATATCTCATCCAGGTCAGCTTGAATAGTTTTTAATCTGAATAAATCTGTGTGATTTTAGAAATTAGTTTTGTTCTTAGGTGGTTGTGACATGTAAAAGATTATTGTCTGACTCTTTCATGTGATTAAAATGAGCGCCTCCTTTTCATTCTGACAGCAGCTGTCTGAACTGTGGTCTGATCCAAGATTGCAGCACTGTAGGCATGTCGGCCTCGCTGCCGACCTGCTGTGATTATAATCCCATAAAGAAGTTTTCCTTTAGTTACATTTTATTCCAGGCCGGCAGGGGGCGACAGAGCACCTGACGTTGGTTGTGCCGTCGGAAGCAGCAGTAACAGCAGCCCCAGAGGAAGAAAGAAGTGTCCTCCTATCCCAGAGTTTAAAAAATGTATTCATAAAAGAATATCAGATCAATTGTCGGTATTTACAGCAGAAATGGTGGCAGTTATATTAGG